GCCCGGCTTGCTGTCACGTGGGACTGTTCCAACTACAGGCCTGTGAACGAGACCGCCTGCGACGCATCAATCGATCAATCCATCCCGATTTATAGGACCGCCCATTTCACTAGTACGACTTTGGGCGGCTCTTTTTTTTTTTTTGAGGAGCGGGGTTTTTACTTTGCAGGTTTCTGGGGAGAATGCGGGTTTAAAGTTGCTTCTAATGTGTTCTGAGGTTCCTCTGAAATTGGCATGAAATTACAACATCATTTGAACGTTTTGTCTTCTGACTGACTGGTTTCACATCAAGGTAACACAGCCCAGCCCATGATCCAGACTACCGACCATAGTTAAACAAAACCCCAAAACAATAGAAATATCAAATTATTTCAGGATTAATAAGATCTAATTTAACAGACCTAATACTGTATATAAAATTTAAGAAAAGTCATTTTGTATCATAGGCAGAAGTCAAAACTGCCGACCACGTATTTGCGTGTTTAAAAAAAACCAGCAACCCTCTACTGCAAATTAGGTATACATTTTGTCTAAGGAAAATTATTTTAGCTACCTCTTCCTTAGATTTTCCATGATTCTCAATGCCTTCATAAATTCCAGACTCCAAATACAGAAGAATCCTATTAATTTCAGACTGAAACAGGGGTAATAGGACAAGCCCAAAGCACGAGTATTCCAACTGCTGAACTACAAAGTCAACTGGAATGCAGTTGCAACCAACTTTTATTTAACATTATCTAACATTTTCAGTATATAGAATCATGACTTAACATGACTCATGAACTGCAGCCACTAACATTTTGAGCTAAAGCTTGATTATTCCCATTTTAGAGAAGAAGAAAAAAAGATAAGATTTGGACAAAATACATCTATAAACCTATAGCTATTGTGAAAAATCAGAATTTATATTCTAAATTCATCTGTTAAATGGACACAGGTCTTCCTTACTGCCCACTTTCTAAACAGCATTAATATAACTGGATAGGATCTTTGTAATTCTATTACAGCAAAAACCTTGCGAAGTTTTATTCATTTATAAAGATTTCTATGCCACCTACTCATTAGATTCTAGGCATCTTACAACAATAACACTTAACATCCCATCTCATTTTTTTCAAACTCAGATGTAAAGTATTCAACTAAATATATTTTCTGAATTTGAGACTTCACTGCCCAGTAGCTTATGTTATAATACATTTAACTAATTTTTAGATATTGCATAATGGGTAAAGATCACACCTAGTTTAGGCTCTAATTAAGTACAAATAATTTAAGAGTAAGATGGGGCTTGGACGATATATTAAACCATGGAACAGTCTGATTTAGTGTAAGGTCTGCAACCACAGGTTAAATTGTGGTTAAGACAAAATGCAGGTAAAACTGATGAGGGGACAATATGCCACACTAAACTCCTCAAGCAACAGCACATACTTGGAATAAAGTAGCAGGAATAAAGCGAAACACATTTTTATAAATAGCTTTATTTATATTTACAAAGGTGTGACAATTAAAAACTTCTTAAAATAGCTGTCTACATTGTCAGAACCCTGACATTCTGCAATACACAGCTAACATGTATTCCCTTTTTGTCATGGATATCCAAGTACATATAAGGCAATACAATTTAAAAATATACACGTTTCACTAAAATTTCAGTTTAAAATTCAGTTTAGTATAATTGAATATCTACCAGCAACGTTTTTACAGAGTGCATTCCAACTGTCTTCACAGCAACTTCTCCAAAACGAATAGTTAACATAATTGGATTATATAACTAGGTTAGTATTTCATTTTAATTAGACAATATTGATTGTACACTGGTAGCATCTGCACTGGCATATAAATAAGCCTACTAGAGAAACCCAGACATTTTTTTAAACATATCGGCCTGCATATTGATGCTGGCCATGAAAAAGGGCAAGTGCCTTCTCCTTAATGTCACATAGAATGCTCACCTTTCAAACTAGTATGGAAAGTAAATTTATGTTCAACAAGTCAGGGTGAAGTGAGGGATTAGTAAAGGATGGATGAAAAGATTCCTCCTCCTCCTCCTGTCCACTCGCTTTGCTTATGGATTTCCTTGGGATAGTCTTATTTTGTAAGAGGCTGACTCCAGCATAGAGTGCTGTCATCTTGAATAGCTTTATTATCTACTCTTGTCTGAAAATTACATGCAGTTATTACAATGTAATCAATAGGCTTATTTATTTCACATGCATCAGTTAACTAAAATATTTAAAATCAAATTGTCATTTTCTGTGCCACTTTTATTAATTACATTCTAGGAATACACAAACCTCCACACCGATAATTGTTTTATGAAATCTCCCAGATAATACTATGAATCGTTCGATTTCTAAAATCTTTTTTGTATGGTTGGCTTCAGAAGAATGTGACATGTCTATGAAAAGCTACTAGTTATAACACAGGGAGTATCTTGTCGACAGGCCCCTCCAAGTTATAAACTCTAACTTTCTGCAAACCATACAGTAATATGAAGATGTAGGAAGCTTGGGAGAGGGTGACTCCACATCCTTCTCAGCAAAATGAAACAACAGGGAAAGAAATGTTTGTTCTTTAATTTACCTTAAGGGTATCACTGGTCTGCACAGCTTTGTGAAAAAACATCTTTTCTCTCTCTGATTTTAAAATAATTCCTGGCTTTTTGGGTGATGCAGGTGAGTAATGGTGAAAGAGGAGCATCTGCTATTCCTAGTATTAAAAAAAAAAATCAAATAAAAAAAATCAGTAATATATGATCCTTTATAGCTCTGTAAGCACATTTGGCACATACAGAGGACAGTTCAGGGATTTAGTATCCCTTAATAGCATTGTCCAAATCCATATATAACAGCATGCCACAATGGCTTGAGGTGAAAATCTGTTATCAGGCAAGGATCAGCAACATGACACTTTCAGCTACCATCCTCATGATTTTTTTAAATGTCCCAAACCTTGCATGAGATCTTGCCTAAAGTTGTTGAAAACTCATGAGATTTTGGCACTCCCATTCAAGAACTCAGGTATGATATCCATCCAGAATGAGAACAGGCTCTGCTCATTCACACTGGGAATTGAGGGACAGCTAGGGTAATGAGCAGCCTAAAAGGGACTTTTGGCTTATTTTAATTAATACTGGAATGAATCAACCATCACTGAATTAAAATATTAGCATTTCAATATAGTATAGTTTCTTTTATCAAATGTCTAATTGACATATAGGATTAGCCCAACCATTCCTACACTAATTTTTAAAATACAGTGTATCTAAATTAGTTGGCAGGGGATGCACTGAACTGAACAGTACACATCACTATGAAGAGAATCACTGTTTACCACACTTTTATACTGTACAAATATGATATAATAATGGCTTCTAGGTTCTGCCATAATTGGAATACTTACCGGAAGGTCCTAGGGACCTAAGTGCTTCTAGTAGATGAGGACTAGAAAATTTGATCATACATCTAAATGGCTCATTAGTATTCAAGATGCTGTTTTCTTCTTCACTTTTAAATACTGTTTCAAGCTGTAAGCCAAACAGAGGGAAACTGTAAACAGACCAGTCTGGTAAGGCAGCTAAGGCCCTGGGCTAGGGCCAGGGAGACTCACATTCAAATCCTCCTTTATCCATGGAAAGTCACTGGATAACTTTGGGCCAGCTCCTCTCTCTCAGCCCAGTCTACCTCACATGGTTGCTGTTGTGGGGATAAAATGAAGGGATATACATCTAACAAATAAATAAAACAATATAATAAATCATATTTATATCATGAATCCCTAAATTTACTTTATTTTTGGCCCAACATGCTAGAGAGCTTACAATACTATGTTCCCCCAATTTTATCCCCATAAGCAATCCTGTGAGTTAGGATGAGCTAAAAGAAAAAAAAAAAAGGACCGACCCAAAAATTACCTGTGATTTCTATGGCTGAGTGGGAACATGAACCTCAGTCTTCCTGACCTGATCCAAGTCAAGTATCTTAACTGCTTCATTATAAAGACATTTTAAAATGCAGCATTCTTATATAAAAAACTTTAGTCAACATTCCCAAAATTTGCAATAACTTTTCTTTTCTTCAAAACAATACATCACAATGTTAATTTGATTAACAAAAACTCCTTGGCATCTGTTTAGAGTTCCTTCCATATGCTGTAACTATTTTATCCAAACATTATTTATTATTATAATATTAAATACAACTGTTAAGAAATATGCACATGAAAAATCAAAGGGTGCCCTCTTGTGGAAGAACTGTCTGGTTGGCTTAAAGCAAGCACACAATCAAAACAACAACTGGAACTATTCTGTAATTTAAATACACTAATTTATTCAGCATTGTTACTGATTGCATTAGAAGTCCTAGATTGGGAAGTTAAAAAAGAAAATCTATCTACTGATCCATACTAGACCAGCATATAGATTATGGTCCATAACCTTCAGTGAAGAGGCTTTCACCCTGCAGTGGATTGACATCCTCTTTCTCTCTCTTATCAATATGCTAATAATACCCAACAATATATCTTCATCCCTGGCTGAGCAGGAGATGCAGTGGAGGTCCCAACCCTGGTGACTGGAGGCTGTTAGGGTCTGAATAGGGAGAAATAGGCTTAGACTGAATCCTACCAACACGATGTGGTTGAGCATTCAGCAGCTGACTAAATCCAGGGAGAATCCATCTTTAGCACTGCATGGGATAGAGCTGGCTCACAACTTGAGAAGCCAGGGATCGCGGCCCGTTTGAACAGCAGGTAGAGGCTGTGGCCATGAGGACCTTTGCATAACTAGATGTTATGTGCCAACAGTAGCAGTCGCTCAGGTGCTTCTCACCTCATGGCGGAATTATTGCAAGGGGCTGCTCCCAGGGACCATTCAAAAGCTTCAACTGCGACTATAAGCAGTGGCCCAGACAGTTGTGTTTGTACCAAAGTTCACCCATGTAACACCGCTACTCCAGGTGTTGCAGTGGAAGCAAGATAGTTTCCAGGTGCAATTCAAGGTGCTGGTTGGCACCTTTAAAGCCCTATAGGGCTCATGGACTGACTATCTCAGTGACTACATTCTTTTAGTTGAATCTGTCCATCCAGTAAGATCTAGGAGAGAGGATTTTAGGACGAGTAAATTCATGCAACCCCAAATGGTGGCACATTGGACGCCTTAGTTATAGTTGTATTAACTGATTTGTTTTAATCTTCTGATATTAATACTGTAAATGGCTCAGAGTCTCTGGAAATCAATTCAATCAAGCATAGAAAATTAGAATACTCATGGAATCTGCAGTAAGTAAGTAAAAATAGGCCAAAATAAATATTGCCAATGTCTATGTGAAGTACAAATTAACCTTGTATTGTGCAAATTCTAGCTTTGGCTGAGGACCATCACCAAAAGCTTCCCGATTAACTCTCTGAATTCTGTCCTTTTCATGTTTGTCTTCCAGAATTATCCTTGGATCAACTGGAAAACACGTTACAAACACATCAATGCATTGAAAGCTTGCTTACCTCAAAACTGCAATATAGTTCTACATTCCATTTACGCCCAAATGTCAAAATGTTAAGGAACCAGCCCACGGGAAAACCGAATCTTCCTATATTAGATACAGTGTGCATGCTCAGTATTTATTTATTTATATGTCACATTTACATAGCTGCCCATCTCACAGAAAGCGACTCTAGGTGGCAAGGGGACAAGGGCAGCTCCACAGAGATGGCCGGGCACTGAGCATGGTTCATCTGCCTCCAATTTAAAGAAATCGTTTTGATTTAAAACAAATTAACAAGATAGATTAAATACCATTTTCCAGAACACTGTTTTTTTCTTGTATAGGTCGAGGGAGATAAGTCTGAAAGTTCTGAGAAAGAAATAAGGAAAAAAATTAATACCAAAAAGTTAACTTAGTGTACTTTCCTTTATTATGAGTGATGGTTAGAAATATTTAAACAAACAAACAAACCCTAAGTGTAGCAACTTCCTTTTTTAAAAACAAAAGGAAACAGTGAGCTAGTGCAGAAATACTGCAAGTTGATACATTAATCTTGGTACATCGTGACCGAATATGGAAGCCCAAAGTATGCTTTACCCTCATCATTTTTGTATCTGCAAATCCATTTGCTTCTCCATTCTCAACCTTATCACACTGATACGTACAAATCTGAATTGTGGAAAGGTTTTTATGCATTTAGCTGAATACCTACAGAAGCCGCTAAGATCTCTTTAACTAGCAGAAGCAGGGCAGAGGTGGAGAAGGTGGCAATAAGGGAGTACACATGGCTCTGTATTGCACATGCATGTTGACATTCCCTGTTCAAGAATAACATCTGAAGAGTGCACATGCTGAGCTGCCAGTTAAAACTGAAAATTAATGCTTATCAGTTGCTAAACTTGAAATAGTAGTATAAAATATGTAAAAAATCCCATGTATGGTTATGCTATTGATTGAGTCCTGAGGGATTTTTCAAAAAGCAAAAGACGAAACATTAGTTCTACCCACAGGGTTAAATTTACCTTGTTGAGAGACTGTCCAGCTTTGTAGAACTGTAATGTGATCTCTTTGAAGAAGCCACATTCCCCATGAATTGGGAAGTTTAGAAACAGGCCTAAAACAAAACAAAAAACACAACCCCAACATTTGGCTCAGAATAGAATAGTGAAGAAACTCACCTGGCAATATCCTTTAAATAAAATAACTTTAAGAGAGTCTAAACAACGGCTTCGGAGGTCCATTTCATGGATGTTTTTGTAACTGGCAGCAGCCAACAGAGCCTTCAAATGAAAATGGAGGCAATTTTTAATTGAAACTGAAATGTCTCGCTCTTCTACATTATCTCCCCATTTTACAATTATAAATTAATATTTAAGCATGTATACATTATATAATACAGTAGTTCAGAAAACCAAAATATCAATTGATTCTTGTTATATCAAAAAATGTTGAAAGAACTGAGATAAATAATTAGAATGCAAAGTACATTTACCTGAAAAAGCAAGGATACATTACTCCTAAACTTAGAATTGGCTATAAAGACATAAGGAGTTTGTGAATGGTAAACGACATAGGTTGGCTTGTATTGATTAGGCCTTGTATACTGTGTTCCCCATGCAATTCGAATCCATACTGCATTGTCTTCACATTCTTTAAAGCTGATAGTTGCCTGATTTAAGAGAAAGGGAAAAATGCAATTTGGCTTATTTACACCATAATTAAACACTGTATACAGAAACAGACATAACTGTTTCTCACATGTCCATTACAGAGAAAACAAACACAATAGCCTGCTTCACAAAGAACACTAAGTCATAATGGGTTTGCTTTTAGTTTAAAACCATGTATGAACTCCTGTCTATAGCTTATGCAACCGCTTAAGAAGTGCTAAACCTATGCCCCCATGTGTCCAAACCACTGCACAGCTGTAGCGAACACAGTTAAATTGCTTTTAAAATACTAGTTCTATTAGCTCACATACAGAATGGTATATGCTACATTTCATAGCTGATTAACTTCTGAATATTATGATCAAGCCCATTTTACACTTTGTCAATGTACTCCTTACATTGCAAGGATAGCCAGTTCAAAAGATAAGGCTTATTTCTAAATAAATATGAAGGTGTTTTCTCTCTAATTTCAAATTGTTTTATATTTACATGATTTAGTAGAACAGGTTAAGTATAATCTCTTAAATTTAGAGACTAAATATTTTCATGGATTATTCTTACATTTTTCAGAACTGATAGCAGAGTGTATTTAAACTGCCTTTTGAAATTTGTCCAGTTAAAAATGACCGAATCTTCATTACCTGCAAGTAATATTAAAAAGTGTCATTCAACACACTTGTATAATTTTTACAAAACAAGGTAAAAGGTGATTTTTACGTTGATGGCTGTAATTTTCCATTACTTTTAACAACGATAAAGTTGATTCAAGACCATTCATGTTTATGAAAATCAACTTTCACCAACTTGATGATTGCTAGATGTTCTGAACTACTGTACATTTCTGGTGTGCCTCAGAAACTGTCAGTACATCAGGAGGTTACCAAGCAGAAGAATGCTGATGAATGACATAACTCATATTTCAATCTTTGAAATGTCACATGCCAACTGATTTTGCTTTAGAACAAGTCAGCAGCCACAGCTTAGACCAGTGTTTCTCTACCTCGGCAACTCTAAGGTGTGTGGACTTCAATTCCCAGCTGGCTGGGGAATTCTGGGAGTTGAAGTCCACACACCTTCGAGTTACCAAGGTTGAGAAATACTGGCATAGATATATCAGCACAAGTCAATGCATGAGATTGATAGGAAGGCAACTGAAGCTCAAGCTTGTTTTATCCTTCGGTCACAAGACTAAGTACAAGTCTCCAGGCAGTTTATTTTATTCCTGTTGCTACAAGGAATACCAAAGTTAGAGACATCTGGTTAGCAAATGCCTTAAGCATGCCTAGACAATGGGGAAAAAAAATTACATACCTGATTTTAACCCACCTTATCTTTTGGCTAATGCCCTGGTTTTTGTGCTGTGAACTTTCTTTCAATAGCATGTATTTATTTGTTTGATTTATATTCCATCTTTTTTCCCAGAAGCTAAAGGCAGCTTACATGGAAATCTCCATTTTATCTTCACAAACCTGGGCTGAGAGTATGTGACTGGTGTAACATCACTTAGTGAATCTGCTTAGCTGAGGGTGAATTTGAAATTTGTCTCCCTAATCCGAAACCTTAACTACTAGACCACATTGGTTTTCAGGTGTAGTAGGAATCACTAAAAGGAGGGTGCACGTGTAAATGTGTAAGGATATTCACTCAATTTTTTATCATTTAATTCATTTACTAGCAACTGAACTGAAAACTAAGATAGAAGGTTGATGAATCAGATATACTAATGAAAATGTGACTACCACAGTTAAGAAGAAACCCTAGTATTCTCACTGTTTCAAAATAGGTTTCAAAATAACATGATGGAAAGAATTCTACTATATTAATTCAAAACATGAGGAGACATTTCAATATATTCAAAGTATGTCAGTTATTTTCAGAATAACTGAAGGTAAGTTTATTTATTTATTTATTGCAGGTACTTACCTTCTCTAGTCATTTGGTAAACAGTCCAGATCTTTTTGTCTTGATAGGTGTAGTTGTCTAAGAAAAAAGATCACAAACTGAGTGGCTACTAACTTAATAAAGGTTATCATGACAAAGCCCTACCTCTATAAAAGGAACTTTAGGAATACCAGTATTGCTATTTATTACATTTAGCATATTTTCAGATTAATGGGAGCTAATCTCTACTCTTTACTCATTGTCTTTGAGGCTATAAATAGTCCGTACTTCCTCACAAATAAGTTTTGATAACATCCAACAGAAGACTGAACTATGTGTTTTTAGGTTGAGAGGTCATTAGATTAGGGGATAATGCAACTTTTGAAAAAGGTGAACAAGCCAAAAATCAGAATCAAATCCAAGGGAATTATTTTATTTATTTATCAAATTTATATAGCCGCCCATCTCATGACAAGTGATTCTGGGTGGCATACAACAAAACTAAAAACAGATAGTTAATAAATACTAAACAATCAAATTATAACATTGATTGTTTAGTATTTATTAACTGTCTGTTTTTAGTTTTTATATTTTAGTTTTGTAATTTCTGTTTTTAATAATAATTATTAAAAACACATGATTAAAAACATCAAAAAACTAAAAAAAGAAGGAATATTAGGTGAAGAGATGTTAATAACAACATAGCCACCTCAATAATTCACTGTCCCCTGGGGTCCCCAGGCCTAATGGCACAATCAGGTTTTGAGGGACCTGCAAAAAATCAAAAGTGATGAAGCCAGCCTCCCTTTTGGGGGAAGGATATTCCATGGAGCAGGTGCCACAGCAGAGAAGGCCCACCGCCTGGGGCCCGCCAAAAGTAGCTCCCCAGCTGACAAGACCCATATCATACCCTCTCTGCTGGATCTGGTAGGATGGGCAGATGCAAACGGGGAGAGGTGGCCCCTCAGATAACCTGGTCTGCTAATTGTTTTCTCAGTTAGCTAAACATTCAAACTTAAACTTATGAACTATATAAAATGCAGGTATAAAATGCCCTGTAATTCTGACCATTATTATGTGGGAATAAGCAAACTTCAAATGTAGAATCTCTGAATGAATAAACAATTGGTGTAGAAAGAACAATCCCTCTTTTGTCTATTAAGAATTTAGATTTTAAATTGCAATAACAATTTATTTTGGGATTGTTTACTTGATAAATTTAATTACCAACAATGGATTGGAGAAATCTATTCCATCTCCTGCCAAAACATTACATTGTATTGTTGTGCAATGAGAATAATCTTGTATTTTTAAAAAGGTAAAAGTGCTTTTAAAATTATATCACAGACAAAATAAATATCAATCTCATCAAACAAATTTAGAGCTTATAAAAAATAACTGATTTAGACGAAAGAAAAAAGACTGTTTACTATATATATATATATTCTACTTACAAATTATGTCTAACTGTGCCGCATCTTTGATAGTTGCATGGTTCTTCTTCAAGACAATAAGTTATGAGCAATATTACAATTTTATGCATTATGATTTCATTGAGATAGAAGTATTATAGAACATTATAAGGCATGAAACCAATTAGCATTGCATAGACATGAATGTCACTGAAATTTTGCGGAATCATTATGTAAACCAAATTATATCTGTAGCCCACAATTAATAGCAAACAGAACTATAATTGATTTGAATAACACTTGTCTGCTCTACAGTCATCTTTTTGCAATACAACACATCCATGGTTTAACTGACCTCCATACAATGGATTTCTCATAAAAGTGACCAAATTTTTGTTGTGATTTACACTGCTTCCATTTATGTCATTTTCCTAATGATTCCATTACGCATGGTGAAAATTTGCTGAAATAATGTACTTTTACACTCAACATTTCTAATAAGGGACATCCTTTCTTCACAATTAGTCCCTAAAAATGAGGTTTCACTTTACATTATCTTATTTGTGTACTTCAAAAGATTCTGTGAGATATTGCTATCTATGTACTTCAAGAAAGTTGTTTTCATTCACTCAGTCACTTCAGAGTTTAGTTGAGTTTACTATCTTTTTATGGGAGATAATTTGTGTGAAAAACCCACCAGTGATTATCTCCCATAAAAAGATACTAACTAAATTACTAAGGCTACTAACTTATGTCTAATCACCAACTTTAGCAATGGAAATATATAGATTTATTTAAAGTTACCAATTTTATTACATTAAAAGCTTTGAACTACTGCAATAGTTTTATACAAATACACAAACAAAAACATGTTAATACAACCTAATAACTTGTAGTTAACAACTGTAGTTTACTTAATCCATGGAGGAGGGAAAGTTGAATGACCTGGATATCTACGGGACTACCCCTCCTGTTACAAAGTTGTCCACTTGTTGAGACAAGAGGCCCCTTCAAAGATGGTTCCTCTGTAAGAGACTGCTCTATCTGGCATGTGGGAAAAGGTCTGCTCCTCCACTTTCTCAGCATTTAAAAAAATCTATACAGATGCATCTCTTTGTCCAGGCTTCTAATTGTTAGCTAATTTTTGGTACGTACTTTGTTAATTTTAATTTCTGTTTTTAACATTTATATTATGTTTTTTTAAAATTCTTAGCTATCTTGAATGCTCACCAGAATAAATAAAGTATACACCAAATAAATAACTGAGGTTGAGTTTGCAGAAATATTAGGCTAAAAAGCTTTACTATTATACTGTTCGATGCATATTGTGAACACAACCTTAAGAGCAGCTGTAAACACGAGGTTCTGTGTTTTCCAAATAGCAATATTTACATCTTTATCACAATAAAAAGGGAACCTTTGTCATAAGAAAACATTTTATATATTTTCCAAAGAGATGACATAAAAACATTTATATTTTGCTCTTACCTCACAAAGTTCAACAACTGCTTCAGACACTTTTTCCTTTATCCGATGAACATTTAAAGACTGAAGCTGAGTCTCAGACAGAAACCCCCATGTAGCCAGCATTTTTGATGTTTCTGAACGTGGAATTCGCAGCACTGTTCTTCTAATATATTCAGCTACTGTTTCATCCATGATGAAGACCCTCCAAGAATAAGAGCGGAATTGTGTCCTTCAAAGAACTGCATCTTAATTTTAAGCAGGAAGTCCCCAGTTTAAGAATGAGTTCTGTTCCCAAGGTCTGTCCTTAAGTCAAATTTGTATGTAAGCCAGAACAGTATTATTGTATAATACTGTATTAGTAATATTGTGTAATGAACTTGAACCATTGTATATTTAACTCGAATCATTGTGCATTTAACTTGAATTTTGCTACAATAGGCTCCATTCTTAACTATCGGTCATCTGTAACCCAGGGACTAACTGCACAGTAAAGTACAGATATAGGTAGTCCTCAACTTACTACGACAATTGGGACTGGAATTTCTGTCGCTAAGTGATGCAACTGTAAATCCCTGCAACCCCTGTTGACGTTGTTAAGCGAGGATTGCAGGTCGTTAAGTGAGGCAACTTCCTGTTGGCTTCCCACAACCAAAGTCAGTTGGGAAGGATGCATGGGGTTGCAGTGTGGGTCAGGGAGGGTGCGCTGGGGTGCACAAGAGGGGCTGAGTGGGTGGGGGAGGGTGTGCGGGGTTACACAAGAGGTGCAGTGCAGTGGGTGCAGCACAGGTTGGGAAGAGTGTGTGAGTGGCCAGCGCTGCATGAGTGCAAAGGGGCTGGGGAGGGTGCATGGGTGGGGGAGACTTACCCCAGCGACTTGTGACATTCCCTGCTGGCTTCCCCGGTGACTTTCTGGCGAAGCCAGCAGGGAAGGTTGTAAATGGTGATCATGGGGTGCTTGGCAACCGGTTGTAAGTGCAAACTGGTTGCCAAGTGCCCAGGTCGCAATCATGTGACTGCAGGGGGTGCTACAATGGCCGTAACTTCAGGACCGGTCATAAGTCCCTTTGTTCAGTACCATCGTAACTTTGAACAGTTGCTGAACAAATGGTCATAAGTCGAGGACTACCTGTAGTGGGGAAAAAAGTAGAAAAATGGTTCATAACAAATGGCAAATCTTGCACTGTATAAACTTTTAAAATAATAAAGATGATTCTGGACATCTCATCCCAAAATGATATACAACAAGACAACTCAATAACACAAGTTTGGACTAACCTAAAGACATAGTTGTGTGTATTAAAGGCAAGAAAACACTAATAAAAGACATTTATAGTGTTATAAATGTCAGAGTATGTACATTTCTATTTACACCACATCATGCAATTGTAGAACTTAAGAGTAATTCCAAGATATTGATAGGCAATAAGTTCTATTATGCTGTTAAATGTCTCTTAAATGTCAATTACCTAAGAATAATTTTAACACTAATGGATGTGCATAATAAATGCTAGATAGAATTGAACCTATTGTAAGGTGAGCACAACCAATTTGTTTTGATATTAAATTTTTTTGACAAAGTTTCTTTCTTTTAAGGATTGGAAAAGGAGGTAATTACAGTATTTCCCCCCCTAAACTTTCTTGTAAAGGACTCAGCAGTAGCACAGCTCTTTGTATCCTCAACAACTTTTGTACTGTCTGCTAAGTAGGGAAGACTGACAGTATACACAGTTATCTAAGTCACTCCTATCCAAGATAGAGTAAAAGATGACTCTACACTTTGGCTACACCAAACTGCTTCAGAAACTAGGGCACATTATTACTGGATCCAGTACTACACTGCAGTGGTAAAGTGCTTCTAGAAGTGCTCATCTGGCAATAAAGTACACTCATGTCCTTATTATTAACATGATTTTCCTTCAAGAAACTCAAGGCAACCTTCCAATTTATCTTCCCAACTCTGTGGAGTAGCTTTGCTGAGAGAGTGATTGGCTCAGGACATCTCCTGTCCCTATGCCCAATGAAGATTTGAGTATTGTGTCTCCCTAATGTTAGTCCTTCATTCTGACCACTTAGGTGCTCAACTCAGATGACTCACTGCCAGGGTTGTCTGTTTATAAATCTATATAAACAAATATGTTAGTGAAAACATAACATAAAAATGCAACAGCAAGAGTTCCTCCTAAATATATATGTGGAAAATAACCTCAGTGAGCATCAGAAATGGTATATATCTTCATGCAGTCAATGCCATTAAAGCTTGTAAACAATTACCAGCTTTATTCCCTTAATGAACTCATTCACTGCACCATATCAACTCTTTACTAGTACCGCATGCTTTAGAACAGTTCATGTGCAGCCCAAATGAATTTTCAGGAACAAGCTTCACTGAGACTGCATTGAGATTTTGCAAATAGCTCCATTAGTGAAATGCTGGTAGTCCGGCATGAAGAACCATTGAATGGCCTTACCTATGGTGAGGCTGGGGAGACCCAATTCAGCCATTCAACCCAACAGATGACTTCAGGGTGATCATTGTTTTCTACAGCCTAATCTACTATACTAGAAAGGTTTGTTGCGAGGAATAAAAAAAGGTAGGCAGTAGGATCCACAAAAACAACATATTTCCTGGCTATCAAAGATGTGGCTTAAATTAAATAAAGGTATACGTCGGAATACCAGATACTAAGTACACATGTGAAAAAATGGCATTTGCGCTCTACTCAGATTTTGAATTTTAGCAAGTCTGGCTAACCTTTACATCACCCCCAGAATGCTGCCAAAACAGACTAGAATCAACATATAATGCAGATACACACAAACACATCCCCCACTTTTTTTTAATCAAAGACTCCAGTTGACCTCAACTCCTGGTGGCTACTCGAACACATCAAGACCACTTTCTTAGCAACAGCATATAAATTATTTTCCACTCCCTCCTTTCAGAATATTGTACGGCATCCCCATCAAGCCTGGGATTTCCTGGTGGTCTCCCATCCACACAAGAATCAGGGCCGGGCCTTCTGAGCTTAGATGAGGTTAGCCAGATCCTGCCCCGCTGCATTTCCACGTCTCTCCCACACACCTCAGTAACTGGAGAGAAAGTCCAGGTTCCTAAACGTAGGCCAAGGAACCCCCCCCCCCCGCATTTCCGTCCTCGGTTTCGATTCATTCTCAGTCGCGGCGCAGGCCGGCCTCTCTCATCGGCAGCCGACCTCGCAGGATCGTTGTGAGAACGAAAGAGGAAAATCCCGCTGCTACATTTCGAGTCGAAATGTACAGGAAAGAAGGCTCGAGACAGTTCGGGATTCGTGGTTCCCCTCCCTCGTTCAGCCCCCTCCTGCTCACGCCCAACTCACTTCGACGGGGGATTCTGCCCGCCGCTACTCCGCAGCCGCCTCTTCGGTGCCATTTTGGGTCTCCTTCTTTCTCCTCAGGACCCGAATACTTGCCGCCCGCCGCCTCGAGAGTCACCCGCCCTCCCATTCGAATCACCCAATCAGCGGTCGCCTTCCGACTGTCGCCTCGCGGGTGAATCGCCCCTCCCTTTCGAATCGCCCAATCAGCCAATCACATCCCGACTCCGCCCGAAGCCGACGACATTCCCTCCTGTGACGCTCTGAAGGTCTCCACCTCCACCGTTCTCCTTGCGCCCGTTTCAGGAGGAGGGGGAGGACCGATGGGGGGGGGAGCCTTGGCACGTGACTAAGAGTTAAAGCAAGAATAACTCCCGGATGGAGGGACGTTCGTTTCCGGGTTATGCCCTTTCCGACGAGGTATTTTAATTTTCTATTTCAGCGTTAAGTAATTTTCCAAAATTTTAGATACGTGTGAAAAGCATTGGGGGCAGAAGCGTAAGTGCAATTACGAGAGGGAAATATGAGGGAGCGGGGCAGTAGTAATGATTTCTTTTTTATGTAATTTATACATATAAATTATATATTTAAATTATACAATTACATATTATGTGTGTGTGTTTGTGTACACACACACACACATAAAATCTATTTGAATAAATGGTCTAAAAATTCCTCTGGTTTCTCAAGAGTTTTGTATTACGACTCCCATAACCCATAATCCTCGATGGCTAGGAATTTGGGGATTTGTAGTCCAGGATACCTGGAGGGCACCAGGTGTCTTATCCTGGAAATATATATTAGGAGATGCAAAGTTTACCAGAAAAAAGTGCCACATGCCTCTGTACCTTCATTAATTAAAATGAGAAAGAAAAGTTTTGTGTAGAGTGAATGGCATCCCAGGAAGACAAAGGTAATTCTTTTAAAATAATGGTAACTTAAATGGTCATTGTCATTCCTTAAAGAGAAATACTGCAGTTCTAGTGCTAATTGCCTTCAGATACTGCTAATTTTCTTAGGTTTAGTGATAGATCTATTAATAAATGGAACAAATTCAGTAATTGGACATATTTGTCATTGGCCCTTTGTGGACCTGACCGCATGCAGTCCATCAGCAATCAGTACTGAACAATGTCAGAGGGTAAAATTTTACATAAATGTAGCTATTATGGATTTCTTCTCCAAGTAAGGTATTGTTCTCCCTTCCTCTGTCCTGGGCAACCACTTTGTTGTTTTTTCAGACAATCACATCTGTATCAGTTGTTTAGACAGATTTTGAGATCCAGGCTCTGAATAATCTACTCTTCTAGCAGTGTAAATGAGTTTAAAAGCAGTCTTCTGTTCCCTGAGTTTGTGACCTATTTGTAGCTATGTTGGTCTTTGTATATTTTGAAAGCTGAACTAGTAAAACAATTGTTTTGGTGTTAAGGTATTTCTTTGGCTCATTAGTGTAATGAATGTATTGTTGCTGTATTGTATAAGACACCCTTGAGGATGAAAGGTGGGAATATAAATCAACTGAGGATGTATATAATTGCAGAATGAAGCATGTTAAGCATTATATTCTTCTGTGTGTTTTAGTAACATCATCATGACTGTGATGTCTCTTTCAGGCAGCACAGACTGTGGTGTCTCTTTTAGGATGCTGAACTGAGAAGGAAGTTGGGTTTAAGGCACTTTCAATTTGCTTGCCATTCACCAACGTTTATGGATTTGCAATGCAATCCTATTTACGTTTACTCAGAATGGAAAAGCTGTTTCTCATAACAACATAACATGCTTTATATATAGCTGATCTTGAACTTGATCCTGAAGTCCATAGGTAGATTTTGGAAAGATCCGGGCTGTAATGTGGAGAACCATTACTACTCCAGGTAAACAGCCCTGGTGTAGGGTAGTTTGACTCTGTAAGTCAGATTTCTAAGTCAGCACCATTGTATCCAATCTCACTTACTTCCTAATAAGCTTCAGAACAGCAATTTTAGATTTCAAATTTCTGAGTAGATTTGTTCACGTCCATCGTTAATTTTGTAGCAGAAATACTGAATCCTAAAAGCAGTGTTAACCACCAAAGAAATTTAAGGAAAAGCACTCTTTATGAATTTTTATTTTCGTTCTTCTGTTTAATTTGTTCCAATCCACATTTGAGCTAAAAATAGATTTCACACATCATTTGAATCACATTAGTTAAAATGTGAGTGTTTTGTTATATCTCAGTTATGAATGAGAAGAACATCATTTTTCTCTAAAATGCTTACTACTAATAAAGCTTGAAGGAATCATATATTCAGGAAAAACCCTGATTACTCTGTTCAGCATGCTGTATGCGATACAATAGCTACTCTCCGAAGATGTCATGTTTGTTGCATAATTTAGGCCATAAATAGTCTTTATGCTATCATTGCACATAAACTTCTTAATATGGCACCTTTTGTTAGGTAACAAATAATGCTGGCAAAAATGTGTATATTTATAAAATCGGGCGAGTGGCTTTTTAAGCCTCTTATGCAAATAGAATTATTATTCTTATACAGTTTTACATATTAATGCTTACAAGAAAACGGCACTGAATGATCTGTTCTGCTTGCTGCCTCGCCACCTTGTGGCTGTTTGTATATTAATTTGTTAGTAGCACAAAACAGGTGAATGCAGTAAAGCTCAGCCAAGTTGAATAAACTTCCAGTCCAGGTGTGATTATAATAAGAAAAAAATGAGTATGCACAGAAATAATTTTCTCTCCAGAGAATGGCTGTAACTTGTTTTCCTTTCCTGCTCACAGGAACTCCTTTTACTGAGTAAATGGTTTCCTCAGCCCTAAAAGCAGAATGAAAACTCTTGCCAGTTGGCTCAAAAGCAGCTCGCATGCTCCCAACATGATATTCTCCAGGTGTTGTAACTTTAATTGCTATACTCCATAGACGTAGGAGCCAGGTTGGGAAATGCTTTCCCTATTTTCCCAAAACTGCTCTTAATCGGCAGCAGGACCTTTTGCCTTCAAAGCTAAGCAGGATCGGCCATGGTTAGTAGCTGGATGGGAGATTATTGGGGAATAGCTGTAGGCTAGACTGGAAGTCAAAAAAAAAAATATCAGAAGAATGCAGTGGTAATCTTCTTCCATACTGCTGGCAAAAAAATCGAATTGATATATTCATGTCATCACTAGGAGTTAAGCTCAGTTCTCCACTCCCACCCCTCCCAATCCAGGAAGCTATTATCCCAGCTAAGATTTGCTTTCTATTTCCGGCAGGGGGCCCATTAGTAAATGAAAGCGCTGGACGGCATCCAGCTGCCATTTTTCTTTTTTAAGAAGGCCAATGGGACCTGCTTTCAAGTGCATTGAAGAAAGAGGTTACATCCCCCCTCCCCCACAGGCTGTATAGCACTTGCTTGGAACTGAATCCAAAACATGGCTCAGCCCTACAATTACATGATTGCTGATCAAGTTCCTCTTGCATTAGGTTGCTTCAACATCAGTGTATGGGAAGTGGGGAATATCTTGAAGCCCCCAGTTTTTGGTTGTCATAAATAAAATGAAGTTTTCTGAGGCTTGTTTTTTGTTCTCCCTCCAAGCAGGCATGACATTGGAACCTGACAGTGGAAAACAGTCAGAATAGCTCAATAGTTGAGTGTAAATCAAGGCATCAGAGGGGGAAGTGGCAGGAATCCCCCTGTTTCATTCTGTTGTGATGCTCTCTATGAAGGATGCAGTTGTTCTGCGCTAGAAGCTGCTCTCATATTCAGGCTATGGGATGTAGGAAGTTATTTTACAGTGTTCAGACTCATTGGACAAATTAGCTCAGATGATCCACATCAGGTATCAATAAATTTTTGGTTGCTAAAAGGCATCCACATGTCATTTAGAACTGGGTCCACCTACCTAGAAGGAAAGGAAGATCTTTCCTGGGATAACATCTTGAGTGAGGGGACTAGAAATGATGGAAGGGAACAACATCACCTGTTTAATGCCAGTTTGTGAAGTGATCTGTCTCCCTGATGGCACCCACTTCATGACAGCATCTATGACATTCTTTCCAAATTTGAGATATGTTCACCAAACCAAAAAGATTTTCTACTCTCAGATTAGAGGCAGAGACAAGAAACCCAGATTGTGTTTGCTTCTTGCTTTTTTAGAAAGTGGAGGAAAGTGAGTCGATACCCATAGATGTTCAGCTAGCTTGAATTACATATAAAGCAAAGCTCTAAGTTTAACTTGAGTTATTTATGAGTTTTACTAACTCATTTACTAATCCTATTATCCATCAACAAGGAACAAGCACACTCAACAATTTGTTTTCCAATAAATTATTTAATTGACATCTTGGCCAGTTGCTCATCAGAGTCATGCCAATCTTGCAAACATACCAGAGCCATTTAAGAAATAGAATTTTCCTTATCACTTTTCCCATAGTAATTGTTTTACATCTTCATGGTGTTTTTTCAACATTTTTAATGGCTTATTTCTCTTTGCTCTGTTTTTCCAATGCTTATGCTATCTTTGTGTTTGGGTGCTGCAGAGCTATGATTCTGTGTTTTTGATATCCCTCCCTCCAACATCACATGTGTTTTTTCTGAACAGGTTTTATTCATACTTTTTGTTTCCAAACATTTGGGAGCAGCATGCAACTCTGTGTGTGCCTTTTATGTGTACGCATGCACACACCTCAAATGGAGATTGCAATCCATGGAGTCATCTTTCTAGCAGTTAATAATAGGGCTGGGCATATGTTGGGAATTATTAGGAAAGAATACTTTATACCTCACTCAAGGTCAGCATCTCTTTGCTCTTCATTAAAACAGCCCATTTTTTTCCCCCCGCTGAAGAAAGTGCTTTAAGAAATCCATTCATTAGAGTTAGAGACCCTTAAAGTAGTAGCACTTTTTTCAGCTTCGCATAGAAGTCTGGAAAAGATTGAGCTTCTGGGATAACAGAGGGGTTCTGCTTGCCCAAGCCCAAAGCATTTCGGAATTATTTTTGAAATGTGCAGAATTATCTCTCAGAATTGTAGACCTTGTGGCCTATCAACTGGCCCCGTTTTTTTTTTCTTTCCATTTCTTGCCAACACTGGATTAGAGGGTACAAAAAGGAATGAAGTATCTTCCAGATATCCCTTGCCATTTTCCATCCTAGCTGAGGCTGATGGGAGTTGAAGTGTATGTGTATTTCTCCTTCCTCCTTCCACCCCCTTTCTCATGCACCAATTACCAGTCTAATGTGATCTAATCCTGGGGACCATAAACATTTGTTCATGGCTTGGTGACATTTCCTAATAGAGCATGAGAACTATATTGTGGGTACTTCAGGTTTCACAGGTAAATACTAATTTTGACATTCTTCTGGAGTAAGGCCCCTTGTTTGTTTGATCTGTTCTCATCTGGAGTCCCTGACAAGCAAGTACTCCTGTAAACAGTTGGCTGTAAAGTTAGTTCTTTATCTGGCGGTGTCAGCTGAGTTGATCTTTAGTCCTGTGACTCTTGTTTGCGAACAAATTTAGATCTGCCTGTTTTCAGACTTTTAGCAACTAATGGGAATAGCAAGGAAAGTTAGCAAATAATAAAACCACAAGTGGGGGAGGGGGGAGAGAGAGAGAACAAAAGTTGCAACTTGGAACAATAGCAATAGTAGTAATTTTACTTCTTATGAACCTATAACTACCTGTAATACAAAATAATAAAATAGCACATGAAGAAATTAATACAATCACACACTACGATCCAGTTTAAGATCACATATAGAACTTCAGCCGTCTGAGTGGCCTATGTCATTTAAAACAAACATTGGAACCTATATCTAAGTAACTATACATCATTGCATAAAGAACTAATACTAAAACCAGTTTCACAAAGACCATTAGAAAAGAAATATTTTTAGCTTTAAGGGTTCAGTTGATCATTCTTTTTATCTACCTTTCATAATCACCGAAGCTGCTCAGTCTGAATCAAGCTATTTTTTTCCTCAAAAGTTCACACATTTCTGCCAATTTTGGGGTTTTCTTAAGCCTGATACATTTATCTGGTATGTGGATGAGGCTGTTGAAGCTACAAGAGGCTCCACAATCATACAGTGTATTTGCTGTGTGTTTCTCGGATCCGTGTACAAAGTATGTTCCAACCGCTCTATGGGATTGGTTATCCTGGAGTATAGGGATTTTCTCAAGGCTGTCCTGTATTTTATGCCTGAGCAGAAAAATGCTCCTAAGTGGTCTGTACAAACCCACTACTTTGCCTCCATAAGGAAAGATGTTTGCTTCTTTCAACACATGCTCTGCATTTCATTCAGTGCTAGTTTGCAGAAAATAGCTAGTTGAAGTCTCCTTCTTGAAATGAATTCTGTGTACTTGAAGTCACAAACAATTACATTGCACTTGAAATCCAACTGTTATAGTTGGACTACTACAGAGGTTTTGGGGTCTGCACCATATGTTGGGTGGCCTTTTGAGGCTGCAGCCAGAGCAAGATTGCTAAGAGTTTCAGTTAAGAAAACCACCTGGAAGTTACCAGAAGTCAAGCTAGACTTGGAGTCTTTATTTTATTGTCCATATACTGTAGGTCAGATAGGGTTAGCGCTGTCCAGGTTTCTTCCCTTAAATGCTGTCATCTAGCAGGGCCTAGGAAGCATGACTTTCCATAGTGGCCCCTGTCCTGTGGAACAGCCGCCTCTTGAGATCTCCTAGCCTTCAGGATGGCCTTAAAAAGCTGGATCTTTCCTCAAATGTTGGGATAGGGTGTGGCTGGAGCCTTTTTTTTTTTTTTTTTT